TTTCTGTGAGGAGATGTGGGCTGGATCTTTTATTATGATATTTTGATGACCTCACCAATGACAGACATTTTTATCAATAGGATTTGATTGTCATATTTTGGGTCCCAGCTGAGAAGCCCTGACATTCTGCTTGGTGTTTTACTTGTTTGCATGTTTGTTACTTTGATTAAGTTCACCATTCAATTTGGATATTTGTGATTCATTTATCCATGGGCCTTCACATGCATGGAGTCATCTATCCACTAACTTTGTATCATACAGAATGCTATGGGAGTCACCATTAGTTTTAAAAGTTCTAGATAAAAACAAACGAATAGGGTAAAAATCTCTAATACTTTCCCATATTTACTCCCATATAAAGCAAATATTGGCCTTTTACCATGGCTGCTTTTGATCTCCAAAAATATATATCATATTGTTGATACTGTGGTCATAACTATCATCAGTTCTTGAAATTTTCTGTTAGCTCCACCTCTAATATTACTTTTAATTTATTTTTATTACTCAGTGTTTAAATTTTATTTTATAGAAGTATATCCATACTTGATGTTTACAAAAAATGGGTTATTTTTCAATTTATTTCATTCTTCAAGATTGTTTTTAAAAATTTCAAAGTGCTCACACATGAAATCTAATATTAATTAATTATTAATTGCAATCATTGTGGAAGATTTTATTGCAGTGAATATTGTAAGTTGTTTGACAACTCCAACATAGATTGTTCCTATTATCTCTTCTTTTGTTCAAGAAAATGTTATAATGAACACACTTGCACTTGTTTCCTTGTGTATATGAACCTTATTAGAGAATATACAAAGAGTTGAATTTGCTGAGGAAATCTTTACTTTCTTTAGAGTTGATAAATTACAAGTTGTAGCTGAACTTCCAGACTGAGAAACACAGAACATAAAAAATATTATAAAAAATGTATTTTACAAAACTGTTGATATTGCTAAGGCAATAGAAAATTTGTATTGGAAAACAAATGAGAGTATCTTAAAATATTTGAAAGGCCATTTTGTTGAAGAATTTTGTTCTATTAAACTACAAATGGCAAAACCATTTGAATACTTTAACAATAGATTTTACTGGTGTGAAATAGTAATTGGAGGAAACCACTATGGGGCTTGATGATCACTCACAGGATTGGATAACTGTTTGAATGACAGAAATTTAGGGCTCAGAAATTCTTTACACATCTACTTGTAGTGGACTCTACTAATATTTTGCTTTCAGATTTACCAACTAGTTGGTAAAAGATATTTTAAGCCCGAAAAAAATATTATCTGTAATTACTCCCACTGCAAGAAATTTCTCATTTCTCCAATAAAATTAGTTTCCTGGCATCATGTTGTAAGGCTTTACATCACATTGACTTTGTGTATTTCAATGATGGTTTACATCAAAGAGGAACTCAGTCCTCATTGGCAGGATATGAAGGATTACTATAGCACACCTTAGTGCAGGAGACCAAATTAAAATGTGTCAGATCAAGAGTATACAGAAAATTCATTCATTATAAAAATTCCCTAGTGAATGGAAGTTTGGAAGAGTTAGAGATATAAGGACTAGGAGATTTACTAGATTGTATAATTGTAGAGGTGTTCACTTTTACTTTGAACATATAGCATTTATTTTGAATACAAAAGTAATTAAGAAAGTGTAAATTTACATCAGAATTTGGTCAAGAGGACATCACTGGAAACTCCGTCTGGAAAAGGTGAAGTTCTGTTTTCTACTTCTCTGTCAATAAGAGTTTTCTACTGCACTGGGTGAGGAGTAACTCTGATGGGATGCACTTAGAATCTGAGAAAACTGTGTTACAACTGTACAGTGTCCCTTCTTTACCTGTTAATGCTTTCTATTCATTTGGTGTTTAGACATTTGCTAAACTTTTCATCTATTACTAAATTCTGATAGAATGAAGATAAGGAATGATGTTCTAAGTCTAGTAAGATCAGGGGGATGACATTTATTGCCATTTGCTTCTAGTCTTCCAGGAAAGCAAGTTTTATAACTTATGAACAAGAATAATTATGTATACTTATATATTTATTGTCTATTATCATATTTTGAGCTTGAAGATAATGTAAGGTTATTTTGCTAGATATCAAACTTCATCTTTACCAAGAAACAAAAGATTCTCTGAAGATGTATTTTGAAATCTGAAAACACTCCATGTTTGATGTACACTGAAAATGACTTAATAATTAGGTAACCGAGAAGCTGGTGGATATTCTGTGGAGAATCTAAGAAAATCTGACTGAATTCTGATTTCCAAATGTTCTCATGTGTATCTGCCTTTTCATTTCAAAGTTTAGAAATGAAAATATATTGGAGAATAATCTATACTTATTTCCTATGCTAGCAACTGGACTTCTAATATTCTTTTTTTCTTAGTATGAATTATAAGCCATTATTCTTAAGAAGAAAATGAAATAAAGTGATCTGATCTATAACATTTATAATTAATAGATAGGAAATCAATGTGAAGAGAATTTTTTGTTATTTCTTTAATTTGATGATCAAAATAGAAAAACCTTATTTTAAATTACTCTTAGAATGATAGATATTGTATGAAATTCAGAAAAGTTTTTCAGAGATAAGATAAACTGCATAATAGAATAATAAATGATAATACCACTTTGTTATCAAATAAACACTCCAAATATTTTGTCTCTCTCTTTCAGCTTTTCCCCAAACCACCCCTCCCATCCACTGCCCTATGCACACATGTATCAACACTCAACTACAATTCATTGACATCAAATCTCCAAATAGCTTCCAATCCATTGCTGTTTTTCCTTCTGTCTTTGTGCTGAGGACAATGATACTCCAGAGGGCTGAAGGGATACACTTGTGTTCAGGGCACTTTACTCTATCCAGAGGATTTCAAAGATTTGTTCTCTTGGCAGTGTGGAGAGTATGAGGCATGGACAAGGAGAAACCTGTGTTTTCCTGGCTTTTTACTCAGTCAGAAGAGAAAATAGAGAGTCACTCATCTCTCACTTTTTTCTTACTCTACTCAAGTTTTGTATTCATGCAGTCTATTAGCTGTTGTCCAAACACTTGATACTAAAAAGTCATTGAGGGTTGAGTTTCTTTGATAAACCAGGGTGGATTTCTCGGTTTGATTTTATATACTCTTTTCATAACTGTGACCAGATGTTTACATTTAATTGATTTTTTTATTTGAAAAATTATTTTCAAAATTCAGAGAATAACTTCACCTCACCCCCCAATTCTCTTCCATCTTTCAGATACCTGGGAACTCTGTTTCTTCCTTAGATCTCTGCATCCAGCCCTGTCACAGCTCCTTGAACACAGCTCATCCTGAGACCCAAAGCCTGTATATATTTCCTTCTTTAAAAGTAAGTATTTTCTTGCTTATATCTTCAAGGTTATATCAATGTCTTTCCTGGCACCCAGTGCTCAGGAATTAAATTCTTTACAAGCTTTATGACCATGGAATAAAAAATTTGGGGACACTATCTCTTTTTCTTGGATGAGTGGGAGCATTTTGTCAGTAACTCTATGAGGGCCAACATATCAGCACTAGTGACTAGTGCATCATGAATACAAGGGATAGGGAGGGAAGGTGAAATGATGGGTTTAGCCAGGTGAGAAAGTTTCTGAAGTCTCTAACTTTGAACTGGTAAATTTTCATGGGATCCACAATTATATTCATTCCTACTTTACTTGACTCACCAGAAATACCATTTTAGTGATATAGATAGGTGGGAGAGGGTGATTTTATAGGACTTAAATATACTTGAAACCTGAGACTGACTTAGCAAATCCTGAAGCATTTTATTTATTCTCTTTAAATTATTACAAGAGATGAAGTAAACTTTATGTTAGCTGATCCAATAATGGGGAATTGAGTCTTCTGTAAGTCAGACAACATCATCTTTGAGCAAGTATAATTATCAGAAACAAAGTACTTATTCTGATGTTTATTGAGAGTGTTTACATATATTTTTGATTACCTGTGATAGGACATTCTATCTATATAATTTTCTAGGAAACACTTTTTGTGTCTCTTTGAGGACAATCATAGTCTCCATTTTAGGCATGCAGACAATGTTCTTTGAAAGGTTAAAGGAGCTGCTCAATTCCATGCAGATGCTTGATAACACAGCTTCAATTTTAACCCAGAATATTTTCCCATTAGATTTATAATTCACTACTTTGGAGGAAAGAGAGGCACTTGGCTTTCTTCTTATTGAACTCATAGGTATCTAGGATCTGGGGAAAACTTCAGGAATGGAAATATTTATTTAGTACATAAATCTCAACTATTAAACACTTAAATAATATTTCTATTAGTACCAAGTTGTGGTAGGAGAGTTTCTGAAGAAACCAATTCCCAAACAACCATATTAAGGTGAAAAGATATCTCCATGTGTTGTAGCAGCTGTTCTTTAGAACTTATGAGAGAGTGGCAAAAATAAATGCTCTCTTTGGTGTATCCTAAAAAATCAAAGATAAGTATCAATCACATCAAAGAAGTCATTACTAGTACCCTAAAAGCTCCTGAGCCCCTCTGTCTCCTTTACTTAACTGTGAATAAAAACCACTAACTTCCTGTATCATGAATTTATCTTACTTATTTAAATGATATGATTTTGAATTTATACTTTTGGTTTTAATGTAATGTGAACAATGTTACTTTTATAAAGTTGTATTTGCCTTTGGTAGAACTCATAATTTTTATAGAGTTCTTATTTGATGGTATGAAAAAAAATGATGATTTTTGTCATTGTAGGTTAAAGGTTGGGATTCTATGATGGCAAATAACCTGTCTGAAGTCATTTTCATTCATCAATTCACTGATTGAACTTCTTCAATTTTTATAATTCAATGAATCATTTGGTTGGAGTTCTCTTCTAACTGCCAGACCACCATCCTCTTTTTCCTAAAGAGTTTTGGATTTTTATCTTATTCTGGATCTATTCATTTTATTTTGAGTGCTTCAATGCTATTTGCTGTGAGAGGCCTGCAAACACAATATATACATTTGAATAAAAATTAGAATTCTTAATGACTGAGGCAAAATTAGGATGGTGTATCTATGCTCAATTCACCAACCAATCTCTATTTGTCTCCTGCTCCTGTAGGTAGATATAAGCTCTTCCAATAACAATGAATCATACTCGGGTGACAGAATTTGTGTTGCTGGGACTCTCCAGTTCCAAGGAGCTACAGCCTGTCTTGTTTTTCATCTTCTCACTGCTCTACCTTGCAATTCTGCTGGGCAACTTCCTCATCATCCTCACCGTGACCTCGGATTCCCGCCTTCACACTCCCATGTACTTTCTGCTTGCAAACCTCTCTTTCATAGACATATGTGTTGCCTCTTTTGCTACCCCCAAAATGATTGCAGACTTACTGGTTGAGCGCAAGACTATTTCTTTTGAAGCCTGCCTAACTCAGATTTTCTGTGTTCATCTCTTCGCTGGCGGTGAAATGGTTATCCTTGTATCCATGGCCTATGACCGCTATGTTGCCATCTGCAAGCCTCTGCATTACATGACCATCATGAGTCGCCGTGTTTGTATAATTCTTGTCCTCATTCCATGGTCTGTGGGCTTCATCCACACCACTAGCCAGTTGGCATTTACTGTTAACTTGCCTTTTTGTGGCCCTAATCAGGTTGACAGTTTTTTCTGTGACCTGCCTCTAGTGACCAAGCTAGCCTGTAGAGACACTTATGTGATCAGCTTACTAATAGTTGCAGACAGTGGCTTTCTTTCATTGAGCTCCTTTCTCCTTTTGGTGGTGTCCTACACTGTGATTCTTATTACAGTCAGGAGCCGCTCCTCTGCTAGCATGGCCAAGGCCCGCTCCACGCTGACTGCTCACATCACTGTGGTCATACTCTTTTTTGGACCCTGCATTTTTATCTATGTGTGGCCCTTCAGTGGTTACTCAGTTGACAAGGTGCTTGCTGTGTTCTACACCATCTTTACTCCTATCCTAAACCCTGTTATTTACACTCTGAGGAACAAAGAAATGAAAGCAGCTATGTCCAAGCTGAAGAGTCGGTATCTGAAGCCTGGCCAGTTTTCTGTACTGATAAGAAATGCTCTTTTCCTCAAAACAAAGTAAACTCACAGGATTGTTCACATTTTAGATTAGTCTTTGGACATTTCTAAATGTAATTACTGTAATATTAAAGCAAATAAGTTTGACTGGTCTGAAAGATTTACTTGAATTAAACTATGATAATAAAAAGTGATAAAATCAGCCTTAGCAATTTAATTATTTTTTTTCATTTTGTATATTTTTCTCTTTTGCTTTATATTTTTTTCTTTTCCTTGTTTATGTGAAAACTTTGAATGAAGTTTCTTCCTCTGAAAGAAGTGCCACTATGATGTCAACTTTGTATTAATCATAGGCATATATCTCTAAATCACAAATATATCTATTTACATGTATAATATGATATAAAATATTTTATTTTCCTTGATAAGAATGCATTTCACACTGCTCTATGTAGGTGATGGTGAATGAGGACAATTCTGTTTGGGGTTGGTGAAATGACATGAATAACCAGCAGAAACCATTTTATTCAACACTTTTGCAAGTCTTTACTCAATGTGTCTATTAAATAGGCATGGGTCATAGAAAACCAGTCACTGAACAAATTTACTCAGAAGAATTTTGTATTTTGTTATGTTAATTTCTGTCTACTACTGATAAAATAATTTGGGGGAGGGGTACCAAGGATTGAACTCAGGTGCACTTGATCACTGAGCCACATCTCCAGCCCTATTTTGTATTTTATTTAGAGACAGGGTCTCACTGAGCTGTTTAGTGCCTCACTTTTGCTAAAGCTGGCTTTGAAAAACACAATCCTCCTGCCTCAACCTCCCAACTGCTGGGATTACAGGAATGTGCACCATGCCTGGCTATCTTTTGTGTTGTTAAGCAGTCATCTTGGAGTAGTTTCTCCTGTTCCTGCTTTCAATCATTATGCACACACTTACTTACACACAGTAACCCATTGTGTCCCATTATCCCAGTTGTGGAACACCTATACAAAGTTAAATTAAGCAACAAATAAACACATAACTTATGGCAACTTTGAAACAATATTTGAATATTTATTATGTTCACAGAATTGAAAAATTTGGATTTAATGGGTTAAAATTTCACCTTTTACATGTCAAACATTGTTCTTGGGTTTACCATACTAAACCAGATACCTGACCAAATAGGATAGGGATTGGGAAGCTTTCTGTATAGCAAACTAAGTAGTAAATATTAGAATTTTTGAGGTCCATATACTTTCTGTTGTATATTCTTCTTTTTTGTTTTATATCTCCTTATAAATACAAAAATCCTTCTTAGCTTGTGGGTCATACATAAACAGACTATGAGCCATATTTTTCTCTTGGGAGCCATAGTTTGCCAATCTTGGCCATAGACAATGAATTTTAGTGGGAGAAACAGAAAGCAAACAACAAGTAAACAATGTTACATAAATATGTCAAAACATCACCACACATCTGTCACCCCAAGAGATTTCTCTTAATGCTAAAGTATCCCTCTTTTCTACCCTCTTCCCAAATAATCAATGATATATCTTCTGTCAATTAAGATCAGTTTCAATTTTGTGGAGTTTTATACAGATGGAATCATGTCTGTCTTTTCAATCTGCAAAATCATTTTGAGATTCATATGTATTGCTACATATAGCAATTTTTATTGCTGAGTAGAATTCAACTGTTTTATGTTGATGCCATAACAAATTACTCTAAACTTGGAAGCTTAAACATTATAAATTTTTATCTTTCAAGTCTGAGGTAAGAAGTTTAGTGGATGTTTGACTGGCAAAACCCAAGCTATGCATAGGATTGTTTTCTCTGGAGTCTCTAGGGAAAATCTGTTTCCTTTTTACAGATTCTACAGACCTTCTGAATTCTGTTGCTTGATGGCCCACTTCCTTCAATCTTCCA